AATCGACATTATACACCGTTTTGGGTAACAATATATCAGGCAATTTATATACAAATCAAAAATTTATTTTGAAAAGCACATACGCACATATGCAAATACACCATTAAAGATATATTTGCATAATTTCTGTGCTAAATTCACACATTGGTAATAATTATATTACTATTTTACAATTTTTCAATTTTTTTTCATGAACATTTATGTTAGTTAGATACTAATATATCAAAATGCATTTGATAACATAAAATGAAGATAATTTTTTTTAGAAGAGCAGTTTTAAATATCTCGCAATTGCAATATTGTTGAAAGTATTAAACCGTTCAAGCTAATTTACGTAACCCTGTACGTTAATTAACAGTTTAGTCTAATATATAATCATGTGTATGCATGTATGATTGAAATGTAAAGCATTGACGAGAATAAATTTTTTTTGGGAAAATATCAATATATTATATTATAAAATGTTCAAAAATGTTCAAACGCTTAGTTGTTAACTTTTTTTATGTAGTAGGATATCCGGTGTAAAAAGACTATATTCATATTTTACATATAAATGGGTACTAAAACAAATTTTTTTGAAATATATATGCATAACCAACGTTATGGAAATTTAGAATATTTTACGACACATTTAATAATAAATCCTGCAAATAAAATTTTAGGTACAATTTACAGCCATTTTGAAAGTTGTCTATTTTAACTGGATTTTTCTTATAATTTCACTATTACAGGTTTAAACTCCCTTAGAAATCTGAAAATTGTGCATAATTTTTTAAACTTAGGAAAACATTAAAACATTACAAATCACAGAATTCTATGTTGACTGTCTAGAGATATTATTGAGGAACGAAAAAATGTTAGACCTATTATAAATGTTTAAAAAAAGAGCCTGCTTTTTAAAATAGGGTAGTAAAATTCACTACTGAGAATACACAACAATTTAAAGATTTTAATCGAATTGTATTTTTCACAAAGAAGTTTAGAAAAATTGTTTACAATATTTATATAAGTTAGGTAATTTAAAAATATAATTTCAATAAATTGTGAATATGTCAAATGTGCTACAGAAAATGAATGAAAATAACACCTTGTTTTAGATCGAAATTTGAAACTTTCCTTTAAAATACTCGTTTTAATGATTTTTATAATTATATAGTAGAAACAATCATTAGTCGAAAAGACATATTCTTGGCTAAGGGATTTGGTTGAATATTTAATACAATTATAAAAATTATAGATATGCATTTAAATATAAATAAGTATAAACCATTTAGGGCCCATATTACAGTAGTTGTTTAAACGTGATTAGGGGTTTAAACCTTTGTCAAATGGAAAATACTGTATTGACTGTTTTACTGTTTGACTTAAAGTTAACTCACTGATTGTTTAAACAACGATTGAATTAAGCTTAGTTCAGAGATGAACTACAGTTTGATTAGTTATTCATTAATGTTGATAACGAATATGGTATTATGGTTATCAATAATTATTATTACAAAAGATTTCACAAATGAGAATTAGAAAAATAACGAACAACAAAATACTGACAACAACTTATCCACTGTCACCACAGAAAACCACTAGCATGTAACTTTTTCACGGTGGTACCACACATATAGTAAACAATAACGATTAAACAACAGTTTACCTAAACCAAGTTAAATTTTTGATTGGAATACGGCAATAAGTTAACCTAGGGTTCAGTTGATAATCAAAGTCCAGCTAAACTCCAATTATACCGAGAATTGTAATACAGGCCCTTAAAGAAGATTCATGTATTGAACTACCAGAATGAATATCAAATAAAAAAAACTATTATTAACTTTCAAAATGAAAATAACAAATGTTTTCTTGGCCAATCTTTTCTGTTTTATAGCTTTATGTCCTTCAGAAAATAATGCATAAAAAGTCGATAAGTATAAAGATTGGGTATATGTTTTTGATGATCAATTTAAGAGAATTTAATTCTCCATTACATTAAGTGATATTAATACATTTGGAGATAGAGCTAATATATCTTTTAATGTGATTTTTTTTTTTATATTAAACCTCGGCGACTATGGCCATCGGCATACAAAGGGTTTAACAGGTTAAACATATAAAGGTTAGTGGTTATAAACTATTGATTATATTGGTCTTGATAATGAAGTTGACTTATATTGTCTGGGTGAAGCGTTTCTGCCATAATATTTGATACCCCAGCTTCCTGCCTGTCCATTTCAAATGAACGGCATTTGGATACACTGTGCTTGATTGAGAGTAGTGTACCACAGCTAGCACATATGGGTGTGACTTCCTTCTTCATCAGATACTGGTGGGTTAGCGACGTGTGTCCAATTCGCATTCTATTGATTGATGTTTTCATTTTCCTTGCCAGGTCCAGTGGGGAGGGCCATGTGAGGATAATATTTTTGATTTCGTTTAATTTTGAGGAGCCTTGTTTCCATTTCCGTAGCCATAAGTTGGTCGATTATTTCTTTTATTTGTGAAAAAAATGCACTGGGATTTTTCAGCTGAGAACGAGAAGCCTGAGACATGTGTCCAAGCTTGTAATGCTGAAATTGCATCCTGCAGGTGTTTTATGGTTCTATTTGGATGGGTGCCTCTACAGAAAATATTGAAGTCGTCAGCAAAAAGTGTGAACTTAACCGGGGGTTGTATATATAGCGGTATAGATATATAGTCATTAATATCTAAACGAAATAACGAGACCGATAGTGTAGATCCTTGAGGTACACCGTTATTTTGAACATATATTTTTGACAGTTTGTCGTTGCACTTCACTTGGAAAGTTCTCTCGGTAAGGAAATTCTTTATAAAGTTAAATTAATTACCGCTACAGATAACTTTTGACAATATTTTTAGAATACGAAGACGCCATGTAGTATCATACGCTTTTGATATGTCGAAGGCTACGAGGCCTAGTTGTAGTTTTGATTCGAACTATTATGGCAGAAGAAGTCTCCTAAGAGATTGGATATTTCGTTGGGATCACTGCATAATTCCGTATCATTCATGATGTGGATGAGATGGTGTTTGGAGTGGCCATGGAGTGACCTAACTCTGTGCCATATCAGAGACGGGTCAGCCTTAGGCCCCAAACTGGGGGAAAAAGTTATCCAAGAGTCAGTCTTACTTCTTTTAACTAGGTATCAAGTTTTAGCTCTGAGCTGTTTAAGTTTAATGTGATCGGAAATGCTTTTTGATATTTGGAATGTTTTGAGTGCTTAGTTCTTTTGTTTGATTGAGTCTCTTATTTCGTCATTCCACCTAGGGACTCGGTTTTTTTTTAACAGTTTTCGAGGTTTTTCCTATTGAGATTTCAGCAGCTCTGATAATGGACTCAGAGATGAAGGTGGTGTCATCCTCAATTGTGCTGATATTAGAATGGGGATTTTCTTGCATGAATGTGTCAATTAGGATAGAAAAAAGTTCCCAGTCTGGGTTTTTTAACTTCCATCTGCGTATAGAAGAAGGTGGCATTGTTTTGGTGGATAATAAAGTAATTAGAATAGTTAAGTGGTCACTGTCATATATCTCACGTAGAACTGACCAGGATATTCTTTGGGCAAGTGACACGCTTTAAAGGGAAAGATCAATTGTAGAAAAATGACTATTTGATGGATTAAGTCTAGTTGGTTCGTCATTGTTGAGTAGTGTGATTGTATCATTATATAAGATTTTTTCCATTGATTTTCCTCGGGCATCCGTTTAATCTGACCCCAAATAATCGCTGTGGCTAATAAAGTCACCAAATAAAATAAATGGTTTGAGGAGTTGCTTGATGATGTTGTCTATTTCAGAGGTATCAAAAGATGTTTGGTTTGGGATGTATATATTGCATATTGAAATTTTTGGTTCTAGTATTATCTGAACCGCGATAACTTCTAGATGAGAATGGATTGGAATCTGTTCACTGGGGTAGTCGATATGTATTAGAAACGCGACGCCGCCGCTAGCCCGATTACAGTTTAGACGATTGGTGTGAAAGATTTTGTAGTTTTTAGTACTTGGTATGTTATTACTTTTTAGATTTGTTTCTTGGAGGCTAATGCACATAGGTGAATATTTTTGGATTATTAATTGTAGATCATGACGTTTTTTGATAAAGCTATTTATATTTCATTGTATTATATTTAGGTTCTTCATTATAGGATATTTTACATTAAATGTAATGTTTGCAATACTTGTAAATTATTATTGTTGTGCTGGGGGAGAGTCGATGGATAATGAAGTGTTAAGAAGAGAGTTAGTAAATCTCGTGAGTCTATTCTTGATACTAAGGTTTTTAATTTTTGAACGGATCTTATAGATAACCTCAATCATTTCCATGGGTGATACGTTGAATTGCTTTAAAACACTGGAGGGGTTTTGCACGCTAAACATGTTTTCAATAATATATTAAGTTGTTTGAAGTCAATTTTTAAGTTCGGTAAGTTTTCGAAGGCAGATTTAGCTGGTTCCAGATCTTCATCTAGCTTAATTATTATTTGTTCAATCAAGTTTGAGCGTTTATGTTTTTTGTGTAGAGGTTGTAGAGTTTTGGAGGAATCTTTTAATTTAGTTGCGAGTGTACCCGTATTTGTGTGTATCATTTGCAATAATGTTGATGATTGTGTTGGATCATTAGGATTTTTTATAGTAGAGGTGTTATCATGGTAGCTAATGCTGAAAGTAGGCGCTGTTCTAGGACTAAATTTTCGTATGTGCAACAGTAGATTTAAAATTAGGTTTTAACTGCAAATAATATTCCTCATTTCCTCCCCTTTTCTCACAACATTTTTTTAATAAATTTAAAGTATTATTATTATTATAGTGTAAAGCTTAAAATATTCATATTAATTATAATAGATAGGTAATAAATGTTTTAAATATAAAAAAAAATAGAGTAATCCATAGTTTTGAACTAATTATGTATAATTATGTTTATTTAAATATATTTAAATTTAACTGTCAAAAAAGTTCAGACTGTTCAAATTAATTTTAAAAAAAATAGTAAGCTAAATTTGAAATTGTATTCTTCTATTTTTCATGCTTGCAAACACTTCAAAGACTGCAGTTGGATCTTTTAATAATTTGTCCGAGTTTTCAAAATCAATTGATAAAAGTGTAAGACTACTTAATCGTGAACTCTTCATAGTTGATCTAAAATATGTCTTAACACGGCGCATGGTGGAATAACCGCGTTCTGCACTAGCTGAAGACACAGGAATGACCATGACCAATTCAATTATTTTTTTTACATGGTCAAAAATCTCACCGTAGTTGCTTATTTGTTGATGTAGGTCAGATAATGTTAAATTATCCAAAAATAAAGATTTTCCAATCAGACACTGGTTCTTCAATACTTCTATAAAGTCATTATATTAGTTGTATATGGTTGATATTACGTAATTTAGCTAACAAATCTGAATTTAGAAATTCATTTGATTTGGGGTCACTTGCGTGGATATAATTCAATATTTCATTGTTTTGGGTAAATCTATAAATCATTTCATTATTCATGTTATCGAAAATCTGGAAAAAGACTCTTTTAAATTCATTTTTTGTATCTTTAGGGAACATGTTTTGTTTTTCTTTTCTACTAGTACTAGCACCAAGTTTTNAATAAGTTAAATAGTTATCCAGTGTTGATGAAATTCTCTGTTCTCTTGTTAGACGTAGTGTATCGTTAGGTTCAATATTCGAAGTATGAAATACACTTACTGCTTCATTGTAAATATTGATGAATATTTTTTCTAACCTTAAATTGATCATTTGTTCCATAGTGGATTTGATCAATTTTGCACAACGGCTATAGTCAAGTGTTATTGTCTGTAAGTTTAATGATAGAATATTTACTAAAGATAAAATATAATCCAAACAAAAAAGTAACACAATAGTTTTTAAAGAATTAATTTGAATTAGTAAACCTTTAGCTTCAGCAGCTTCCTTAGATTTTGAACTTACAGTACACTCTTTTAATGCTGTTAATACTAATGTAAAGTAGTTTTTAAAGTAACGAATACTTTTAAATTTTGATACCCAACGTGTTTCACAGTGCATAGGGACTTTCGACCCAGTTTTATCAAAAAATACTTGATACCTTAGTGTTGATGATGAGTGAAATGCATATACTGCTTCCAAGAGACCTATAGTATCATGTACTTCTTCTACCTTTCTTGAAACGTCAACTAAAACTAAATTCAATTTATGTGCATGGCTATGTATACATGGAAACAAAGTTCCTGACATATCTTTAATTTTTTTTTGAACTCCATTGAACTGACCAGACATAAATGATGCTCCATCATAAGACTGACTTACACAGTTACTCAAATTTAGTCCAAAATGATTCAAAAATAATTTAATATTACAGCTTAGGGCATTAGCATTTAATTCTTTGAGTCCAACAAATCCTTAAAACCTTTCTTTTATCACTGAATTATGTACATACCGAATACAAATACTCATTTGCTCTAATTTTGCATCGTCTCTGGCTTCGTCAACAATTAAGCTGAATATTTTACTACCTTCTTGTACTTCTTTTAAAATAGACTTAGCAATCACTGTGGAAGCTGCACTTATCATATCATTTTGAATTATTTTACTAGTATATTTTGCATTCTTTGGTAACGCTTCATAAGCTGAAAAAAATGTTTGACTTTCACTACATAATAGCTTTACAAGTTCTAAAAAATTTCCTTTGTTTTCTGTTGCAATATCATTGTTCACAATTTCAGAGATTCCAGTTGTTATAGAATGTCCTCGCAAACCAATATCTTACCTAACACAATATATGGCACACCTTATTAAACTTTCTAACATTGTCCTATTTCTTGCAACTTCAACTCTTATTTGTGAGTCAAACATAGATGTAACACTGCCTTGTATTTTAGAATTACACCACCCTTTATATTTAGTCAATGCTAATTTTTGTGCGTCACATTTATCATGTACTTTAGCCATACTGCCTATATGTTTCCAGTCTAAATAACCATGAATTGTTAGATTACCAGCTTTAGGATTACAATGTTGAATTGGTGATAAAGAATGTCTACAATAATAACAAAAAATTTGGTCAAATTGTATTGAGTACTCAATCCATGGATACTGTTTATACCAAGTACTATTAAAGGGGCGTTTACTTTTACCCATGGATTTGTAAGGATAAACAATATTTGGTTGTACAGGAGGTTGATCATAGTTTAAACTTAAGTCTAATATTTTTAAAGATTTTACCAATTGTCTGGTCGTCAATTGTCTGAGTTAATAGCAGTACTACTATTTATATTGGTATTTTCACTAGCTGTAGAGTCATTTGTATGTACTAATGGAGATTTTGGTGTGTCTCCTTCAATTGTTTTTTCCGCCTTATGTTTGGAAAAATGAGTTAAAAATCTCTTCATTATATTAAATTAATAGAAACAACGAAAATTCACGATGAGAAAAAAACAATACAATAGTTATATTATATCTACACAATATGTAATAATTTGTTATCATGTTATGCCGGCTATTATGAAGATAGCTACCATTCCGAACGTCTGGTGTCGTTCGCTCCCGCCAATTATGAACTAAAATAGTACTATCAACGCTAAAACAGCTGCAAGCTCTAGCAGCGACATTATCACATAGATAATATATTAGCACGATTAAAGATATAATACCTATTATATTATGGGGAGGATGGTGGTAGCCTGCAAGCCTGCACGTGGCCTTCCCTGCATGCGCTTGTAGATTTCCTGAAGACCCGTGTGTACGAAGACAGACTACGAGCGTATCTAATACCACCACCAAGGCGCTGATACCCAGCAACAGACACAGTAATATGCAGCCTTTAAACGGCCCTTTTCAGAGCCATTCAACGCAGATATTAGGACCGTGCCTTAGGGTATGTCACTTAAATATTGAAGGTATTTCGTCAGCTAAGAGTGAAATTCTATCTAAACTTATGAGAGAGGAAAAAGTTGATGTTATTGCACTCCAGGAAACGCATACGTTAGATGAAGCCGACCTCCACAAAAGAGGACAAATAGCTGGTTACAATTTGATTGGAGCCATACACCATAAACAGTACGGAGTTGCAACCTACCTTAACTCACGCATCAGCCATGCGAGAACAATAGTACAAGAGATAGTGGAAGAGGTATTTATCTTGACAGTAAATGTGAGTGGAGTAAATATAGTAAATGTGTACAAGCCACCCAATACATTATGGAATAACCCACCATTGCGCGTTCTAGATCATCCAACAATGTATATAGGTGACTTTAATAGCCATAGCTTACATTGGGGCTACGATGATGACGATGACAACGGAGTAATACTATTTGACTGGCTTTCCACAAATAACATTGGGTTAATGTATAGCGCTAAGGATAAGGGAACTTTCCACTCAGCCAGATGGGGCAAGGACTATTCACCGGACTTGGGAATTATCTCGAGATTAGAAAATCTAATATCCCAACTTGGGACAAAGAGTGTACCGACCTATTTGAAGAATTCCAGATATCAAGTGNTGTACGGCGTTCGCGATATCGCGACGGCTGTATGTTAATTAAGACACTGGAATTATTACAAACGAACTTGATCACATTATGTAACAGAATTACCAATATATATAATAAATATAACATTCGTTATGTATATGTATATATGTATAATATCCGCATATATATAATATAAACATACATAAATTTGGGAAAAGTTTGAATATATATGACCGAAATCACAGCGGTGTTTAACGGAGCAACGGAAAAGGCGTGCGTTAGGTATGACTGCTCGCACGAGACTTGGTATGAATTTTCACGATATATTGAGTGATTCATATCTACTCGATTAGGTACATCGAATACATCATTCGATATGAAAATCAAAATGTTTATCGATTAGATAACGATCTTAATCTATTCGATTTACTTCTCACACTCCAGTAGGACAGCATGGAACTTAGTAAAGAGGCTAAGTGCGGAGACCACGAAGACAAACCTATCTGACAAAGTAAGTCCTAACGATGTCGCAACTAGATCAATGAGAGTGACCAAGACCAAAATGGACAAAGAACAAAAAACAGACATTAAGAAACGCTTACGGTCAAAAAAGAAAGAGATGGTAACAAGTGCCATCTACAGCTCGGATTTCTCTACAGACGATATTAGAATGGTACTTAAAGAAATAAAACTGAATAAAGCAGCTGGGTTTGATGGTATATATTCGGAATTTTTTAAGCATAGTGGCCATAAAACGCAAGCATGGCTAGCTGTTTTTTGTAGTGACATCTTGGACACGGCGACTTTGCCGAAGTTGTTCAAAAAGACTAAAATCATTGCAATCCTTAAGCCAGGGAAACTGGGTACTAATGCAACACACTATCGTCCGATCTCGCTACTAAGTATTACATATAAAATTCTTGAGAGACTGATTCTTAACCGAATCCAGCCAGAAATTGAAAAAATATTACCAGTAGAACAGGCAGGATTCCGGACAAACCGTAGTTGTCCTGAACAAGTCCTTGCGCTAACTACCCTGATTGAAAAACGTTTTCAAAACAATCTAAAAACAAATGTAGCATTCATTGACCTTCCAGCAGCGTATGACACGGTGTGGAGACATGGACTGTTATACAAGCTGGCTAACGTAATTCCCTGCAAAAAGATATTGACACTCGTAAAAACATGTTAACCAATCGCAGATTCCAAGTTTTCATGAGGGATAAAAAGAGCAGGTGGAGAATATCCAACGATGGACTGCCGCAGGCTCAGTGTTAGCCCCTACGTTACCTTTATATCCATGACCTCCCATTACGTCCAGTTTTAAATTTCAATATGCAGATGACATAGCTTTGGCTTACCAGTGCAAGGACATGGATGCAGGGAGCGAAATGTTGACCAAGGACCTAAAAATAATGAGCGATTATTTTTATAAATGGAGATTAAATCCCAACCCGTCCAAGACAGAA